CCTTAAAAGTCAATACCCTTTAGTAACTATGCTTTGTTTCATATACCTACTTTTACTTCAACCATCTTTTGACACCCTCCCCCAAGTCCCCAGAGCTATGAAGTTTGGACTCCTCCTCCTCCTACTTTGGAATCTCAGAACATGAAAACAAGGAGACTATCATGCTTCTACTTTCTTTCTGAGATCTGTCCAACAGAGACTGCCAGCTGAAGGATTTTTAAATTTGGCCAATGGTTCTCATAGAAACAAACAAACAAAAAAAGGAAGCTCAGAACAGGATTCTTTACTACTTCATCATTTCCAGTTAATCTTTCTCTTTCCTGAAAACACCCAGCCACCTGCTGTAGTCTTCTTACTAGAATGCCCTAGGTTAAAAAGGGAGCAAAGCTACCTAAACTGCCCTCCTAAGACTACTAAACTGGATTTTGGAACCTTAAAGAAAATTTCAGAAGAGTCATAGGCTTTGTTTTCAAGCCAAAGGGATGTTTCTCAATTCCAGACAAAAGGCAACTGAATCCTTCAGCTCAGGTGTATGCCCCAGTCTCTTTTACATTCAAATGACTCTTTTAAAAAAAATTTTTTTAAGAAGTTTGGTTGGCTCTACAGGATCGGAGAACCTATGAGTCATTCTGATTCAGATCTTGACCTTTCAGCTTTATAGCCTGAGAATAGTCATATTGTTGGAAATGAAAGCAACTGGAAAGTTGAACTTATCCAAGAAAACAAGGAAGGAAGGAGAGAAAGGGCATCTCCAACAGAAAGGATCATTCTACTCCAATGGGATAAGAGCTACTCTTGTTGGAGCAAGGAAACCTTCCAGAGCAACACTGCCAAGTGAACTGAGAAAGCAACCCTTCCACACAGCCCACCTGCTTTCCCACCTCTAAGTTGATCTCAGGTCATTCTCCTGCAGGGAATCTTAGCCTTGAGGGCCCATTTCAAACCCCTCTCCTCCATTAAGTCTCTCCAGATCCCCTCACCAACCTTTTGCAGCCCCCACCCTGGGGTACACCCCAGTTTTTGCTTTGATACTTCACCCATAGGGCCTTGGCCACTTCAGGTTTGTTCTTAAAGAAGATTCAGTGACTACAGGGACAAACTACATGAATGTCCTCAGCACAGTGCCTTATATGCAGCAGGGACTTTGTACAGGTGTTGAGCTGAATTAAATTGATTATGCACAATTACTGAGAATCCTGACTTTCTCAAACAAGGCAAAGATTCAGGAAACAGTTGTCTCTTTAAAGAGACATTATTGCCCAGATATTACGATGTTGTTATTATGACTATTATAACTGAGAGTCTCTTCGTCTGAAGTTAGTACAATTTAGAGGAACCCAGAAGTTAGAAACAACAAATCCCAGTTGAGCACTGCCCTAAGTTTTAAAAGCTACCCCAAGAGCCAAAGTTTGGAGAAACAGAAAGGGGTTTCCTAAATAGAAAGAGGATGTATAAATGGAAAAAGGGTGCGGGGTGGGGGTGGTGAATGCCTAAGCTGAAGGCAGGGGCGGGCAGGCAGAATTCTGGGGGGAAAGAGAAAGATGATTAAGCTGGCACAATCCAAAGGCCCCAACCAAGGTAACTAGGGGCTCCATGTACAGCCAGCCTGGGGCTGCTAGGGGCTGCCCACACTAGCAGCCAAGAGATGCCCCAGGGCTGTCCTGTGGTGAGCCCCTGTGGAAGTCCTCATGCCTTAAGACAGCAGGTTCTATATGGTCAGAGGCTGAAAGACAGTGCGTGACTGAAAGTCCATTAATTCACTTTAAATATCTGGTAAACCTCTACCTGCTTCACCTTCTTATTACTGTTGGCCTATAGTATAGACAAAAAACTTTTCTAAGCTGGTTCTCCAGCAGAGCGGAGAGCGAGGTATGGTGCACAGAGCTCCGAAGTAGGAGGGGCCGGTACCTTGTTTCTGGCCTGACCCTAGTCGGGGCAAGTCGCCGAGCGTTTCTGGGCCTATTTCCACATCTGTAAGCGGCGCCGGGGAGGGGAGAGAGGTTGTGGGTTGTCTAGCTCGGAAATTATATAATTTCAAGATTTCCCTACGCAGCTTGGTGGAACCTCGGTACCTCAGAGGTTCTGACGCGGAGAGGGTGGCGTCCCACCCTTACTAGGCTACCTGTCAGATGAAAGGCAAGGCGGTTCCTGTTCAGCGGCCACCGTCCCATCCTCTAGGGGCCGTGTGGCCCGAGAGGACGGGCGAGGTACGCATTCTGTTGGTTGCTAAAGCAGCGAAGCGATTCCCGCGGGCGAAGGGTCACGCTTGGCGCGAAAAGTTTCCAGCGGTTCGATATCTCTGTGACCCGAGCGCGACCTGTTGACCACGGCGTCGCCGCGGTTGCTCGGAGGCCGCCAATCACGGCGCGGCTCCTCTAGCAGGCCCCGCCCACGAAGGCGAGCAACCACTAGGGGCGGGGGCCATTGGCGGGGGCGGGGCTAGGGGCGGGGCTCCGAGGCGGCTCCCTGGCGCCGCACGGAACTGTGTGCCTACTATCCCAGAGAGACCGACGACAGGAGGACTGGGCGGATGGCTGTCCCCTGCGCAGCTGTCACCGGGAAGATTAAGAACGATGGCGAATATTAATTAATTTAATTAACAAATAAATACACAGGCGAGCCCTGGTAAGGGCGAGAGCACGAGCGGTTGGTGAAGGCGAGGAGGGGGAGGCCCGCACACTGTGGGAAACGTTACAGTTGACTCAGATGCAGAGCACTTACCCCTGCGGAATTTTGCTTAATTTCCACCTCAACTCTGTGAAGAGACATCGTCTTAATTTCACAGTTGAGGGAAAGAAGCTTCAAGAGGTGGGGCAGTTGGTGGTAAATCGGTTGGCAGTGAAGTGAGGTTGGAGCCAAAACACACGAGAGGAACAGTGGGCTGCACTTTTGTAAATTTGCAATTTTGGAGGCAGGGCTGCAGTTACCAAGATTCCTCCTATCTATTAGATACGAGTATTCTTATAAGCATTGTTTTCTCGATTCGGCCTTTTTAAAAACTTTTATTTTATTTGTACCTTAACAAGTAAGCAAGGAGCTCAAAATGTATGCCTGTGATTTTTCAGTTACTCAGAAATAAAATTGTGCTTATGAAAAGTGTCTTTAAATCCTTAATAGACGATCCCACAGGCAAGTACTGTTTTACTACATTGGGATATTAAACTATGGTTTAGATTTTAAGACTAGAGAAGTGAACAGATTATTGGTAGGTTTTTGAGTCAAAGATCTAATTAAAACATAGTTAATATTAAAATAGAATAATTCTGCCCTCAACAGAAAAATCCTGCTTCATCTACAGTTTACTTTTCCTTCATTCTTTTGATGCCTTTATAACTTTAAAAATACTGAAGAGTTTGATCTCAGGACATAAATCATTCTGTAAAGTCATTAGGTTGTATACCATTGGCCCTGTAAATGACACCTGCCAACCGCACCCTCAAAAAACAAAAACTCAACAGTACAGAAGATTCTGTTCAGAATACCAGTCGTATGGCAGCCACACCCACGTTTGCCAAAGCCACATTCATCCCTGTTGTCCACACCCTGCCAGACGCGTATTCCTGGGTCACGCGGATGAGACAGAGCACACAGCCTCATCCCCTCAGCCAAGCCCACCGCCTCGTGCTGCCACACCAGGCACTCCTGTCCCCTCCTTCACTCCCAGCATTCTTCCTTCCCTGGGACACTTGTCACTTATATGCAAGTCACTGCAGATGACTCTGTGCTTCCATCAGTTATGTTTATGGGCGAATAAGCATAAATTCTTAGGAAAATGTTAAATCATAATTACTTAAATTTTAGGCAGATAAGTGAGCAATTGTTTGGGCCATTTTGAAGCACTACGTAGCTGATGTGGACTTCAGTCCAGATAGCCACAAGAGGGTTCATTTCATTTTTGTTTGCTAAGTGATCTGGAATAAGAACACCTTAACGCAATGGCGATATGCCATTGTACTGAACTTTCACACATTTGTTTCAAATTTACATTTTACAGATATTTTGTATCAACCTCAGTAATTAACATTTAATATTATCACTCCCATCCTTAATGTAATATCTAACCCGAGTTTATCATTTGGGGCCTATATTATACTTTCAGCCTCATTGCCCACAAGTCAAACCCTCCAGTGGAAAGACTAACCTGGACCCTGCCTCTGACCACACATGACTTTACTCCAACACCCCCTTCGCATGAATTTCCACAGCTTGCGAACCACAGCCCCCCGGGGCCTGCAGGACCAGCTCAAGTCCTCCATCTTCACTAGGCCCTCAGGAACACTCCAGCCACAACCATATCTCTCCACCTGTCCAGATCAAAGCATCAGTTGTTGGCACAGTGTCCTGCCTTGTGACAGCCCTTACATTGTTATTTGACCTTTGTGCTGTTTATTTTTCGGGTTGAATGGTTTTTCTCTTTCTTTAAACAAGTCTATCACTGGCACTACCGGGTGTATGGTGATGATTAGAATTTTGGTGGGTGAGGGGCAGGGAGGGTGACAAGTGAAACAAAGGGAGGAAAAGCGACTTTCCCGAGCCCACTGCAAAAACGGGAACCAGAGAAGAAGTAGAGTGTTGATTTGAGGAAATTGTATGTATGTATGTGAAAGATTTTGAGAGGGAATTAGCAGAGAAGCACTCCTGAAGAAGAGGGAAGTGGGGCATGAAGACCTAAATCAGACAGCAGTTCTTTTGAACCGTGATTGGCACTCTTGTTCCAGGTATTTGGCTGCCAATGGCGCTACGTGAAGGCAGGGGACAATCGGAGTGGGCAAAGTCCAAACAGACATTTGTATGTATGAACTGAAGTTCACTGTTCTTTGTTTAGGGGCGTGAATGCAGGCCTGCGGCTCTCAATCTAATATCTTTCGTGAGGAACTGCTTGAAGGCCTAACTGTTCTCCCGTTAGCAATGACTCTGTCCAATGTTAATCAACATTTAAAAAAAATAGCTAGAATTTATTGAATGCCAGACAAGGCCCTAAGCACTTTAAATAGACCACTTCATTCAATCTTTACAAAAGCTCCAGGAGGGAGCTACCATGATTCTCCCCATCTCACAGGCAAATAGACTGAGACAGAAACTACTCCATGGCCATACAGCAAATCAATAGTGGCTCCGAATTTGAACCCAGGCCACCTGCCTCACCACCCCGCCCTCTTAATGACGTATTGTGATGATCAGCTGTTGGATTTATTTTTCTCCAGAAGAAATGTTCTGCCATCTCCATTGTACAGTGTTCATTCAGAACTGGATGTTAATGCCACAATGAAAACCTCACTGGACTTGAATGAGTTTTTAACAGAACACATTTCAATTTTAAAGGGCATAAAGAGGTCCATTTTCAAATCACCCATCCACCCACACTTCCTGCTAGTCCACCCCTCTGCCCTGCCGCTTTTCAAGGAACTGGATGCCTTCGAATCTACTATCACATCCCAATGGCTGAATTAAGACTTGAACAACAATATTTTTTCTAAATAAGAAATCCCAAACACTTGAAAATGTTAAATCACTCTTCAGAATAGATACTTACCCTAAAAGCTGCAAAGACAACACCCCCAGGATGAGATTTTGATCACATGGAAATGCTGTTCTGGAATGAGCCTGAATCTTGCCTTGGCTG